CCTGTTCCAGCATGGGCTCCTTTCTCCACGGGGCCACAGGTCCTGCCAGGAGCTTGCTCCAGGACAGGCTTGCCACAGGGTCACAGCCTCCTTCAGGTGTGTCCACCTACTCTGGCATGGGGTCCTCCATGGGCTACAGGTGGATATGTGCTCCACCATCAACCTCTGTGGGCTGCAGGGGAATCTCTGCTCCAGTGTCTGGAGTACCTCCTCCCCCTCCTTCTGCATTGACCTTGGTGTCTGCAGGGTTGTTCCTCTCACATCTTCTCACTCCTCTCCTCCAGCTGCTGCTGGTGTTGTGCAGGTTTTTTTCCTCCCAGAGGTGCTACCACTGACGCTGAGGGGCTCAGCCTTGGCCAGCGGTGGGTCTGTCTTGGAGCCGGCTGGCGTTGGCTCAATCAGACGTGCGGGAAGCTTCTGGCATCTTCTCACAGAAGCCACTCCTGTAGCCCCCCGCTACCAAAACCTCACCACAGAAACCCAATACACAAAACTTGCACCTGCCTGGCAAAACTTCCTTCCTCAGCCCTAAAAACACTTAAGCTGAAATAGAAAATACAGACCAAAGTAAATAGTTTCCCCTTATTCTATGAGATCATGTTGACAGCCACTCCTTTTTAATGCTGTTTAGTTGGTGAACTGGAATATAACCTCCTGTACCAGACTGGCTCCCAGTGGCAAAGGAGTTCCCAACCTTCTTCAGAACACTTGTGGGTGATAATATCAAGTTTTCTGTTTTAAGTTGTTGTGAAGTTTTCTTTTTTAAGAACTTAAGTTTTAAGAACTTAAGTCAAAACGTGTGTTGGTCTGCTTTGGCACTTGAGTGTGACAAAAAGTCTGATACAGCCCTTAATGTAGTTTGCTTTAAAAACAATGGACGCTGACAATCTGTTGAATGAAGTATCTGAAGGGATTTATGTAGTTCATAACTCCGGAATGCAAGTTCTTTGCCACCATCATCTATTACTGTATCGGTCTATGTAGTATTGTCATATTTGAAAGGAGGAATGCTCCCCAATGCCAGCGGAATTGGTGGTGGTGGTGGTCTTATATCAGCAACATCCATAATGTCTTTAGGAGTTTGTTTTTAAAGCAGTATTCTCAAGAACTGCAACAGTTTAGAAAATTTGTAAGCATTAACAAGGAAACTAGGACAGTGTCACAATGTCTTGATGTACTTAAAAATAGCAATGTGCTGACCACTTACTTTGAATTCCAGGGAATTGGAGGATAGAAAAAAAATTCAGCATCTCCTGGCTTTACTGGGAACAGACAAAGGAGAAGTTACGTATTTTCACAAGGAGCCTCCACATAAGGTAAGTTCCATTTTTCTGTAGAACTTTGCTTTTGATTGTAACATGAAGATCTGTACCCCAGAGGCCGACCACAAGCCAGATCTGTCCAGCAAGTCAAAAGTTGCTAAATGAGCCCAAAGCAGGAGGGATCTGTAGCTCTGTAGCAACATCAGGTTTTAGTATAACTGCTGACAGATAAGTAGGAACAAGCACACTGGAAGTATGTCCTCTTAGTGTCAGTCTCCTTCTACCTTCAAAACATACCTCCAGATCAGCATCCTAAATGTCAGACAGGAGTCTGAAGCCATGTGGCAAATGGTCATTGGGAAGTTGGAGAGAACACCAGGAAGAGAAAAAGGAAAAAAAGGAAGTGCAGAAAATTAGCAGGTGCGGTGTCTGAAGATCACCTGTCTCAGAGAGCCTATCTCTTAGGGCTTCAGGAAAGAATAATGCAGTGTTGAGGTTGCTGCAGCAGTTTCCTGGGCAGGAGACTGCAGAAGAGCCATCCCCTCTAGCCAATATTGTATTGCATATTTCAGAAATAATGTCAAATCGATTAAACAGCAGTGCACATGAAAGGCAGGGTAGTTGAACCTACTTAAATGAATCATGAATGATTTGGACGTATAGAGACTATGATGGAATAGAGGATTTATCTTGGAGTAAGGTGCAGAAAAAGGCTGAAATAAGCTGCATTGCTTGTGGTTGCTCTGCACTACTCAAGCAGTTAAAAAGTCTTGCAGAAACTTTAAAATTCCCTGATACAGGGAAGCTCTAAAATTAGGCCTATTGTATAGCATCAACCCCAAGATAAGCATTGGAGTTATAACCTGCTCCCTCATGGCCTCGTGTTTTTAAGTGGGTTTCAGTTCAACAGTTGTTTCAATAGTTTTATCAGTTAGCTTTTATCCCAGGCTTGTTGATAGCTTGAGTGAATGTGCTGATAAATCAAGCTTCATGTTTCTCTGTCTTGCTAAGGCAAGAAGGAAATAATATAATCTTCATCTTCACCTTCCTCTTCTCCTCTCTGTCCCCAAAATGCTTCTTTGCCTGCTGAGGGTGCTGATATTCATCCTAATGAAGCCAGCAAAGGCAGGATTACTTTCCAGTTGTTTCAGTGAAAAAAAAATAGAGGCAGAAATGGCAAAACTCAGCCATGATAAAGGGAACTTTTCAACATGGACATTACGCTTGTGAATGTCTTCCTTGTCTTGTGGTAGAAGTAAGGTAATGCTGTTCTTTTGGATATATCATTTTACTCTTCAAGATTTGTTCTTCACCATTGCAACTTTGAAGAAGTCGGATGTTCAGCGCAGATATCTAATCTTGTTTCTATAGGTTACTGTTCTGCAAAGGCCAGTTAAATCCAGAGAGTCACACGAACGAGATGATACTTCTAGAACAGGTACTCCACCAAGCCGATTAACAGCAGCTCAGATATTGGTACTTGTTTCTCTGTGTGTTTGTGTCCGGTATCCCAAAATAATTCCTTACTGTGAATACTTTGGTATACCTCCATTAAGTTCCCTAAATGCATCCATGTGTACATGCATATATATGCAGTACTCTTGGTTTGCCTTCAAAATGTTTTAAAATAACCTGAGCTGGCTCTCAGGTCCATCATCTGCTCAATAAGGAAGAGGCTGGTATGACTGTTGAATGACTGTTCTGGAGCTATGCAGGTGCCAACTGGACAGGCACCCTTAGCCGCAGCCGTTCCAAGGTGTGAGGTGCTGCCTTTAGTGTAGACAGTAGTGTGGGTGCGTATGCCTATTTAATGATTTTTCTCTTTTGAAAGAACCGCCTCTTCCAAATTGACTGGAATTAGCAAATAAGCTTAAAAGTCATTCAAGGCCTGATGCTTGTGCAGCTGTGTCATCTGCCTATTCATCATTTAAGAAAATTTGTTAAGTTTGCTCTCTATATATGCCAAGAAAAGTAATAGGTTGCCTAAATATTGTGGTATGATAGTGTGAGATAAAGGTATGCAATCCCTGTAAGTTCTGAAACCCTTTTCTTCCAGCTAGCTCTCCTAGAAGTCCTAGTGACTGTAGCAGTGGCAAGCTTTTTCCTGTTCTTCTTGACCTGCCAGAACATACAGTATTTCATGCTTGGAAAGGTACTGCAGGTAGATTGGAAAACCCTTTTCTGCTTCTGTTAAATTTCTGCAGTAGGCACCAAGAGGAGCACTTCAAAACCAGCAGCAAAAGGAGAGAAACCAGAATGTCCTGAGAGATATCAGAGAGATAATCAAACACTTCTACTTCAGGTAAAAACATTTGCTAACCAATGGACATAATTCTTGGCTGTCCAGGAAATTATGATAGACAAATATGCTGTCGGCTTAGATAAGATGTAGACGTACCAATTTTATCAGTCCCCACATCTTACTATGAATTCCCACTTTCTATCAGTTTACTTAGCTGTTTCTTTGCCATGAATGTAGGCTTAGATTTAAGAACTTGGATCTGATTCTGGAAGCTTTACATAAGCAGATGTTACAGTAATGTAAACTGGAATGTGTTACCCTTAAATATAGAATGTGTAATTGATGTTATCTCCCATAATTTGAATATGAATTTACATTAAACCCACAAAAGATCTGCAGAGTTGGGCATTTTGTGGAAGTCTGACTAAAGCAATGTGTCTGAGATAGAATTAGGCAGCCCTGATAAGATGCACTAGTATAATGAAATGTTCCCTTTGCTAGACTTTGGTGAAAGATAGGGTGTAGATACCATGACAGGATGAAAGATAAAATGTACAGAATCATGAATTGGGGACAATACCAGAAGCTATATGTAAAGCATGAGGAAGGATGAGTCACAAAAAGCAAATTAAAGAACAAATTTGTACAGCAAATAGATTTTTTTTTTTTAAATTTTTTTCGGTTTTGTTCAAGGGCAGTGGTGACTGACCTAGTGGCCAGTTAGCTGACTAAACAACGTTTATTCTGGAACAAAAGCATCATACAAAATTGTGATAAAAATAAACGATCTAAATACATGCCAAGTTTTTTTAGATAGTTTCTTACACATAGGCCAGATGCACATTTTTCAATTACTTGTTCCAATTTGTCTCCCTGACTACGTGCCCTAGATCAAAATTCTTTGTATCCCTCTCCTTTGCTCATTATCTTGTTTACATTTAATGATTCATTCTGGTTGAGTAATTTCTTTTGTTCAAGATATGTGGACTTGCTGCCTTCCTAGAATTTAGGTATTTTTATATCACCATTTCATTGGAAGATGGTAGCATAGGTACACAAGTGTCTCTGCGTATTCCTCAGGGTTTGTCACATTCTGTGTGCAAATTAAATCTTTCCAATATCTTCAGTCTATTGTTGCTGCTTATAATATGCCTGTCTTGCCTATGACATGCCTTTTTCTTAAAATGTTTTAGTTATTTGAAATACTTAACATTAAAACAAAAATAAAAAATTGAGAAATTAGAACTCTTAAAGGTATTATCAGGTAGAGTCTTTGATCTGAATCTTGGAATTTGAGAGAGACTTGTAAGGACAGGAGCAGAGCTGCGGTGAGGTCTTATTCAGTAGTGTCTTTGTTTGCTTATTCAGGTGGAGGCCCTGCAAGCTCAGATAGAAGAACAGACACGATTATCCAAGGAACAGGTTGAGGCACTGCTAGAGGACAGGCGCATTCATATGGAGGAAACCCAGGTCCAGCATCAGAGGGACCAGGACAAGATCAAAACTATAACAGATAAGTGAGTGCGAGAGAATGACCATGATGTAGTCATGAGATGAGAAGAGAGGGGAACAATAGAAATATTTTGGCTTTCAGTATGTTGCTTCCTGCAGCAGGCAGAAAAGCAAATTATGCAGCCATCTGGTAGTGTGTGTGGAAGAAGATGAATGGAGTAATCTACATATTAAAAATCCTGTTTCACATTGGAAGAATATCACTTCTTTCATTAGATGAGAAGAGCTAAACTCGCTAGGAAAGCACCTGTCTTTTCCATGCTTCTTCCAACTTGCAATGATGACTGAGGAAATTAAGGTAGGAACTAGGAAAGAAGTTAATTGAGTTCCCTTTTTACAGACTCCATAAGACCCAAAATCTCTTATATGAGAGTACCCGTGACTTTCTCCAGCTCAAGTTTGATGCCCGAGCCAATGAGAAAGCATGGATGGTAGAGAAGGACAGTCTGTTAAGGAAACTGGACGAAGATCTGGATCAGCTTATTGTCAGCACAGAGCCAGGAAGAGAGAAGAAGCAGAGACATACCAAGAAGATGCTTCGAGCAGATGATGGAGCTTGGAAACTCCACAGCAGAGAAATAAAGGTAATTTTTTTTTTGTAGCATAGGTAGAGGCTCTTTAACAATTTTTTGACTAGAAAATTGCAAGCATCTGGGCTTTGCAAAGATAGGCAGTAGCTAGCAGCTACTTCAAAGCTGTACTGGCTTGCCATAAGTTAGGTTTTTGTTGGCAGTAATGTAAAAAAAAACCCAACCCTGCCTCAAAATCAGCATTGCTTGCAAATTTCAGATAAAATGTATAGTTAGGATTTATGGTAGCACTTCACTGTCAGTTTCTTTTATGCCCAGAACAAATCCCTACTTCTGCAAGCCATGTGATATGTGGGCCAACAGTTCTTAACCTGCTTGTTGCACATACCTTTCTTTTAGTGTAAATGCTCTCAGATAGAGGACTTGGAATGTGTTGTCTGTATCTTCCTTGCTGCTCTCGGGGGAGAATAAGTCCTTTCAAACCATGTCCCCCAGCTCTTCTACAATAGTCAGGAGTTTTCTTCCAGTCTGAAGCTGGGAGATATGAAGTGGGTAAACAGGCAATAAGGAATTGGAAAGTAAACAGGCAATAGGGAATTGTTTTCTTCTGTCACCAAATGCAGATGCCTCTGAAATGTAGTACTGGGCAAGCAGTTGTGAAAAGGGGAATTACAGCATTAGCTGAATATTATTTTTAAGGGGAAGAGGAGAGAGTTCTTTAATTGATGATGAGCAGTCACACAGAACTGATAACGTAATTAAAAGGTTTTAATAATGGAAGTGGTGTTAGAATATTGTCCTTACCTAGTTATTTCATTAGCTGTATCTCCAGTTGTTCATTTTTATTTGTCTGTTATATTGTCAGTCCATCACACTTTACTTTTCCAGAGTGGGGAAAATTTCGTGAACACTGAATTTTGAATTGATTCTGTTCCTCCTATGTCCTAGTCACTGCAAGAACAGCTAATGCAGGAACAGCGCCTATCAAACATGTATAGAGAGCAGTGTGTCACCCTGGAAGGTGAGCTGGCTAGGATTCGTGAGGAGGGAGATGTTGGCAGAGAACTCTTTAAGGTAATTAGTCTGTAATCATCTGCTAGCTATGTGATGATCTTGCAGCCTCTATTCTGTGTACTCTATTGAGTTTTCATCTCCATAGGAACGCTCAGAAAAGATGGGGAAGCGCCTGAAGCTGATGACTCAGCGATATGAGGCCTTGGAAAAACGTCGTAATATGGAAGTGGAAGGCTTCAAGAATGACATTAAACAGCTTCGGCAGAAGCTGAAAGATGTAGAGAAGCAGCTGTTTAAGGTAATAGCTAAGCATTTCTGAGGCAGACTATTACGGGCTTACCCTATAGAGGTGTATTCTCAGTACTTAAATGCAATATTTCCCTAGAGTTAAGGAAATAATTTCTTTTCTAAGTGTTCCTTTAGATATTAATATTTGACAAAACTTGTCCTCTTATGTATTTTATGAAGCAAAAAAAGATTTTTCTTTGTTAATCAGTCAGGCATCAAGCTTGCCAGGAACTGTCCTGATTATACATGAGCTGTGTAGTTTTGTTGCAACTCTGAAAGTTCTTATCCGATACCTGTAGCTCACTTAGCTGTCTCAAAATTGCAGTGAAGTAGTTTGTTTCAGAAGTACATCCTGCAAAGAAAATGATGATTGGTTTTCTCTCTCGGGGCCATAGTGTTTGGTTTTGTTCCAGTAAGAGGTAGGTCATTGACTTAAGTACTGTGAATATTCTATTTATTCCTTTGCTAATATCTCATTTGTAACTCTGCAAAAATCACTGCAGGAACCAATGGCTGGAAGTTGAAGCTGTGTACTCTGTAGTAGCTTCCAGATCTGTAGATGAACATCAGAACAGCCTAGAGGGGAAGTCACAGCCTTGATGTTGCTTGGAGTTTAGGATGAGATATTTATCTAAGACGCGCTTGAGAGGATGATCTAGCCATAGCTTTTGTCCAACTGACTGTCAGGAGTCTGGCAGTGCCACCGATTTACTTGTTTTCTGTAGTTTTGGCGCACAGTTCAGTTTACTTAGACTAATGCATTTGTCTTCACTAAAGGCTTCAATTATTTTTTTTCTTTTCCTTGGGCTGTGGATTTTTAAACTTTATTCTTTATGGATTCAACAGCATATGTGAATGGGGGGGAAATTGCCTATGATACCTTTACTGCAGACCTGTGTGTTTTGTTACTGTGGGTGTGCTCTTAATTGTATTCTTAAATTCTTTACACTTTAACCACAAGAGGGCAGAGGAACAAAATACTTGCTAGAAGTCTCCAGAGTGGTCTTTAAATCCTTCTCATCACTTGAAGTCAAATTGACTACAGATGACTAAATTTCCTGATTTGCATATTAAAACCTTTGACCAAGAACTAAGTGATGACAATGAGATGCCCTAAAGGAGAGAAAAGGGGGAGCTTTGAGAGCAGCTTCCAAGGCTGGGCTGCTCTGCTGTTGAAAGTGACTGGGTTGGCACGCTATCCAGTTCCAGGGTGACAGGAAATGGCAGCCCTGGCTAGCTTGCCATCAGGAATTCTGATTACCCAGCAGCCTTTGTTCAGCTCAGTATGGGCCATATGGCATGGCCTGAGACTAGGCGTTGCACTTGAACTGCTCTTGAATCGCACACAGTTCAGAAGGCAGCAGGCTGGCCACAGCAGGTAAACCACCTCTAGTACTAGTAGCAAAAGATCACAAAATGTCATAGTATCAGGTGAGGTACTTAGAACTAGGTAAAAGTTGGTTGATAAATATTTTAACTTGCCTCTTTGTGTGAGTCTCTAAATAATACAGGAAGTAGAAAGGAATCAACAGGTTATGGGTAAACTTGACTATATTCTATCCAGTTTTCTTTCTCATTAGTAACATAACACCATGATGTACGAAAGCTTTGTTCTTTATTTTTGGTTCTGGAGCACGTTTCTGTTGGTGATATGCATTAGTCCAGTGACATTAGCTTAAGCATCCTCTTTGCTAGCTACAAAGGGTCTCCTTTAGAGTTGTCTCTCTCATATCCTCATCAAAATACTCTCTAAATTGTACTCTGTACAACTCTTGTTTTCTTAATGTATTTTTCTATTCCTTTTTAGGTGACTCTGAATATTGGACCAGACCAGGATCTTGCAATTCTACATGAGGTCCGCCAAGGAAACAGACTAACCCGTAAAATTCAAGGAGAACTAAAAAACTTAAAAGCAAAAATCTATGGTTTAGAGAATGAACTACGGGTCTGCTGAAGCTGAGGTATTAGCTGGCATCCTAGTTTTAGGAATTGGGACATTGTTAGGCTGGAATAGTCTTCAGGTTCCTGCCTGTCTGTTTCTTGGCATCCAATGACAGAAGGCTTGAGGAAATCTGCAGTTAACATCATAATGTTGTAGATGAGCCATTCCTAATGTGCCAGATTATATTGCTGTTTCAGCTGAGAGATGGCACCTGGTAAGACTGACAGAGAAAGTACATGATGACATGATTCCATATCAGGAATATACTTATGACTTTATCGTACCTTCTTATCTGTGATAGGGGTCAGTATACTGGTCTTCAGCTTTATTTGGAGCATTTTATAAACTACATATGAAATTAATAATCATGGGACGATCTAGTTCAAGATCTGAATTGTTTGAATGACCTTTTCCTATGTGAGAAGCAGCTTTTAAAATGGTTTCAGTGATTACTGTTTTGGTGCTTAGGCACTTCAGGATGTAACTGGAAATTGTTTTTTTAACAAAGACCACATATAGAAAGTACGTACTAAAGTGTATTACATCTGACTCTCCCCTTGACAGTATAACTGTTTTAAAATGGCTTCCCTTTGCTTGATTCTAACTTAATTGGGACAAACCTGACTGATTTAATGTGATGGGAAAAGATAACCTGTTATACAACTCATCTGTAAGAACCAGCAACAGCTACACTTGTTTCGAGTGCTTGGGAGGAGGGAAATACTACACTGTATTGAGTGTCATTTTTCTCATCCCCTTCTTCCCAGTTTATCCTAACACACAGAGGAAGTCCATAACTAAAGGCACTAGTATCTTCCTTAACAACCATATTACCTACCTTTGTGGCTTTAAACAATATCATGGTTATGTACCAACACATCCTGGTCAACTTTTGGCACAGCAGTGGTTGCTATTGAATTGTAACTGAAATTGAGGTGGAAGAGCAGGTGCCTTAGGTTGCTACATGATAAATATAACTCCAGCTGTTTGATTATTATCTTCATACCAGCCATCAGGACATTGCAATTCTAGAAAACAGATGAAATCATGAAGAGGGTTACAACATGGCTTCAGCCCAATTTATAATTGTGGGTACTCATGCTTTTACTGTAGCGTCAGCAGATCTTGTCCACCTCGTACACAGAGCAGATCTGTGTTGGGAAAGGGATTTCAGTGCCTCTGTTTCCTACTGTATCTTTCCTACCTTGTTAAACGTGACAGAAAAAAGAAGGCTGCCAGCTCTTCCTTTCCTGTTGTCAGCCCAACTTACAATTGTGGGTACTCATGCTTTTACTGTAGCATCAGCAGATCTTGTCCACCTCGTAGACTGAGAGCAGATCTGTGTTGGGAAAGGGATTTCAGTGCCTCTGTTTCCTACTGTATCTTTCCTACCTTGTTAAACGTGACAGAAAAAAGAAGGCTGCCAGCTCTTCCTTTCCTGTTGAAAAGAACTTAGTGTGTGAAAGCAGGCAGTTTCTTTTGGACATGGTAGTGGCCATGGAGATGAAAAAAGAATATAATCTTTCTGAAGTATACACCTAGGCTACCAGCTCTTCCTCTCCTGTTGAAAAGAACTTAGTGTGTGAAAGCAGGCAGTTTCTTTTGGACATGGTAGTGGCCATGGAGATGCTCATTTAGTGTTTGGGAGAGGTAAATATGCAAAAGCTATTTGCGTGCTGTCAAGATTTGGAGTTAATTGTTTTTATAGCACCACCTAAAGCGGGAGGGGAAATTCCATTAAGTAGTCAAGGCCTACTTCAATTGTATATCCTTTTTGTGACAAGCTTGCTATCCCTTATGGTCCTGTACAGTGGCTTTTATTTTGTATGTGTTCTTGAGGTCAAATTCATCACAAACAAAGTTGAGTGTGGGTGGCTGACAGTCGTTACCTAGATGCTCAACTACAACTTACAGGAGGCTATCTTAAAGTATGTTTAGCTGAAAATGCTGAACTGGTTCAGAAACTGATTCATGAACAACTTGGGTGCCGATGCTACGTGGACAGTTAAGGAAGGTTATTAAATAAGGCTATCCATCATTTAGTCTCGCTCTTAGTTGACTGGTACTTTCTCCTAAGTCTAGCTAATTAAAATGAGTTTGTATGTGAAATAGCATGCTGCTGGTTTGGAGATATCAGAGTTATCACAGGTCCTGCAAGGCTGCTATGTAATGAAGTATTAGCCACTTATTCAGCACTTAGTGGCTGTGAATGGCATTCAGTGAATTTAGCACTTAGATTCAGCCAATGGGAAGCTAGCAAAATGGACTCTTGAACCCACAGAAATAAATGGGTTTCTGTTTATTTTCAACTCTTCCAAGCTAAAGAGTTGCCTATGAAATTACATTTTCCTCACTTGAAAGCCATGAAGCATGTCTGGATAAAGACTGTAGGCTTCGACATTCAGGTTTGTAAGACTAGGAGGAAATATTGGGGGAGAACGGTGGGGGAAGAAGGATATAGAGGTTTAATTTCCTGTCTTTCTTACCATTATTCCTTATTACTTGAAAGACTGAACAGAATAAGATGACAACATTCCTTATATATCTGCTGGTGTGTGTCAAAATCAAGGTGCAGCGTGAACTTTTTTGTTAATTTGCCACTAGTCTATGAATCCTTCCTATTCGAGGGGGAGGGGGGAAATTACAGTAGTGCTGATCTGTAAATCCATTTTATTTGGAAGCTTGGATATTTGTCCAAGGGCAGGAAATACAAAGTATTGTACATGTTCTTTCTTTGTGATGACATGTGATCATGTGAAATGTTGCTTTGTGTTGCCAAAACAAATGTGAACCTTCAAGCCAAGAACTGCTTTAAAAAGCCAAGTGCATTCTGCCACCAACAACTACCCTTTAAGATGTCAGTAAAGAATTATTGGCGTTTCCAAAAGGGTTTCCTGGGAAAAGTTCCAAGACCTATATTAGTCAATTTCCTTCCATAATTTTTGGGTAGAAAACAAAAAACGGCATTTACTACAAAGATTAGCTTTTTTTTGCTAATTTAAGTTAGTAATATGTGACTTGTATCATTTCAGTACCACTAAATGCCAGGTTATATATGTAGGAGCACAGAATTTGAAAGATATCCAAAATGGCTGATTCTAGGAATCTGGAGACTATCCTACAGAGGATTTAAGGTTAGAACTGGATAAATGTTCTTATTGTGAGCCAAGATGCTAAAATGTTTCTTGCATAAATAGGAGAAAAATGAGAAGTATGGGAAAACTTTATTGTTGTGTAGCCTTATTTAGGTAAGGAAGGCATGCATACATTTCAGAAAGGATGTTGAAATATTGGGTAAGGCACAGAACCACAGATGATTCAGCAGAAGAGAAAAAGTTGTGCAAGAGCTCATATTGTATTACATTAAGAAGACTGATTAATATACATGTATCTTGAAGATGGAAAAACTACCAAAGGCGCTTCTTTATCCCAGCAGAGAAAGGCTGAGCAAGAACCAGTAGCATGAATCTGAAGTTAATTAAAAAAAAACCCACACATTTTTAACAGGAAGATTGCACTCTTTTTCCCCTCATTATAACAAACTGTGGAGGTAACAAATTCTCCATCTCTATCTTCAAGTCAAAAAACAATTGCACCTCTGGAGAAGGTAGCTTGTTTTAATAAGTTACTGGGTTTGACACATTGCAACTTAATGAAATATAATGACGTGAACTAACAGGAAGTCATTTAATGGTTCCTTCTGACTTTAAACCTATGATTTATTTATATGCAATATTTGTAGGACTTTTTCAGCACTCACGCAGTTGCCTTATTTATAGGAATATATGCTGTGTCAGCTCACCCTGCACAGCAAGGTTACTTAAGGTAAAAAAACCAAAACAAAATTAAAAAAAACCCTCATGATCTTCCTATAGCACAACTTGCAGTAATTCCCAAATTAATTGACACTGTGACTGTGCTTAGAAAGGCAGATGAACAGCGGCCACAATTCTGATAGCTGTCAGAATAAATAATAGTATAGTATATACTTGTATGCTGTATTTAAATTGCTTACATAAGCAGTAGTATCAATTCAGAAACACACATTTTACCAGTATGGATGGACTGTGGGCAGCCTAATATTCTGGAATTGTAATGGCTGTATGTAGGCCAGGAAGTAATTCTTTGATAATTAGATACTTTTTTGAGACTAGCTGGGAACAACATCCCTATGTATTTGTGAAAAGCTATGTCATTCAGACTTTTAATTACAGCTCACAAACACATTTAATTCTGCTACACTTGAATGTATTTGTGCCTGCTGAGTCAAAATCCTAATAAAGATGTCTCATTTGTCCCCAAAGTGGCATCATAGCTCATTTGTATATAAGGGACATTTTAAGATTTTTCTTTCCAATTTTTCCACAACATTTTGCTTTTATATTCACAAGTTGCTTTGAATTGTAAGAAATATCCCCTTTACCTCCTAAACAGTTATTCTTAAATTTTCAAGACTAGCTGTAGAAGTATACACATTTTTTAGCATGTGGAGTGGGATTATGTACCAATACATATCCGAATACAGCGTAGAAGGCACGAGAGGTGAAAGCTGCGATGACTCCTTTTGGCTGCTGTATTCACGGGGTTTGGACACAAAGAACAAAGTTTGTTTCAATTCTTATGTTGCATCAAAATTTTAGGACTTTCTGTCTGAAACAGACCTTTGGATGTAACCAGAATTTAGCCCACCAGCAGGAAATGTTTCTGCTATGGCTGAAGTATTTGAGTGGGGTGGACTTGAGATATTTGCCATTTAGCACCAAATGAACTGTTTGGAGAAAGGGCATCTTGGACTATGAGTTAGAGCGGCTGCCCTTCAAGTAAGGTCCAAAAATACAGCTTTATAAACAGACCCTCAATGGGGTTGATTATTCGCTTATAGTGACTAAATTGCATGTTTTAAGAATTGCAATGCTGTTGGATTGTGGACAGATTACAAGTGCGTAAATATGGATTATTTGTTTTTATTCAGAAAACCCAGAGAGGCTTTCAACACAGAAGTGTTTCAATGTTAAAGCAAGACAATGATTAACTACATGGGCA